TTGTGTCGTTAAAATTTCGTCGGAACAAAGTTACGGAAAAATCAATTAACAAACGGAGACGTAACAGTATTATATAATATTTTAGTTAAAGTTGTGACAAAGTCTATTGTAACAACTTTATTTTTCACTAATAATGCTAGGATTTTACAACGGTGATATACCTTAAATTTCCACTTATTAAAAATAACACAGTGTAGTTAAAGTTACATAGAGAAGCTAATAAAAGAAAATCAGTTCGAATGTAAGTCGTAAAGTGAAATTTGTGGCGAACACAAGAAATACAACGAATTTTTCTTCACATTTTTCAAAGCGATTCTGCAGGCTTAGTACGTAAAAGGGGTAATTGATATCACCTCTGGTACCAAATTATACGTCTAAGTAGCGTTGTACAGATATATTTAACTAAATGTCTTGCATAAATAATATTCCATATTTTATTAAAAGGTATGATACATCATTAAAAAGAATGGTACATCGTTTTAATTCGAAATTAATTAAATATTTATAGAAAAAGCTATAATTGTGATAATAGAATAACAAAAAGATAGGAAAAATGTTTGATTAAACAAAACAGCAAAGCTAAATTTTGATTTAGTTATATGTTATTAGTTTTGTGTACACACATATATATATGATTACATACAATAGATTTATATATATATATATATATATATTACGTTTCAGATTAATTAGAAAAGTACCATCTTGCAGCAATTAGCCATATATGATGAAGGAACAGACGAAACCTGTGGATCTCAGCACAGTTCGAGGTAGTATATGTTTTCGTTTATTTTTAATTTCGCGCAAAACTACACGAGGGCTATCTGCGTTAACCGTCCCTGATTTAATAGTGATAGACTAGAGGGAGTTGCAGCTAGTCAACACCACCCACCGCCAACTCTTGGGGCTACTCTTTTACCAAAGTTTAGTGCAATTGACCGTCACGTTATATCGCCCCCACGGCTGAAAGGGCGAGCATGCTCGGTGAACAGGATTCGAAACCGTGACTCTCAGATTGCGAGTCAAGCGCCTTAACTACCAGGCTATGCCAAAAATATTACATGATATCATGTAAAATGCTTGTTTTACTCAGTTTAGCAATAAGTAAAAGCTAACAAATATGAAAAACCACTTTAATGATTATAGGTACCTTTTCCAAATAAAAGTGTTTTTTTTGTTTTTTAACGAAAAAAAACAACAACAACAGCTCGAACGTGAGTGACCTTTAATAGTGTCCTATTAAATATATATATAAATTTAGTATACTTCTAATCATTTTGGCAATAAATTTAGTAAAAAAAAACTACCTTTACTCTTTAGATAATAAAAGAAAATTTTTTTATTTCAGCCAACTTTTCGCCATTGCGGTTTCATCAGGGCTAATAGTACAAGAACTGTTTAATGTACGAACATATGTTTTTAAACTGATTTTCTGTTCTATTGCTCGAGACTTTCGTAACATGCTTTTAACAATGTTTTTTTTTTTACTAACTTTAGTGCCAAATTCCTAAAAACAATAAAATATTTCTAATCAGTCTTGAATTTAATTCATTTATATGAATGCTATACAGCAGCATGTCTAGAATTTGGAGTTTGTTGAAGTCCCACTGAAATTTATTCTTTTCTGTGTAAATCAACACTGTTCGTGCTTTTATTCAATTCTGGGGTTTCTGATAGTTGAATCGAATATTATGTAAAACTAGCAACTAATATAAATGGGTCACGGATTCGAATCCCCATCACTAGACATGCTCGCCCTTTCAGCCGTGGGCACGTTATAATGTGACGGTCAATCCCACTATTCGTTGGTAAAAGAGTAGCCCAAGAACTGGCAGTGGATGGTGTTGACTAACTGCTTTCCCTCTAGTCTATCACTGATAAATTAGGGACAGCTATCACGGATAGTCCTCGTGTAGCCTTGCGCAAAATTCATTTCAAACCAAACCAATCATGTAATATTCCAATAACAAAAATCATCACCAACAGGAATTTTTATTTTTTTTCATTTTATCTTTATAAAAATTGCTTAACGTTTCTTATACCAGGAATTTCCTATATGCCCAGTTCGTTAAGATTGTCTCCAATCTGGTAGCTTAACATCTCTAAATTATATCGTTGTTATTGTTGTTTTGTAAAATACTTAAAATATTAAAAAACTGTCCTCAAACCATAACTGATTGGGAATCGTTCTGTCAAAAATATAGCGTTAATTTTTATCAATAAAATTAAATTATTTATGAGAGAGACATTTCGAAAATCGATACCTGCAAATTAACGACATTTCATGGTGTATCGCTCTAGGCCTTATGTTATCACCATACGTTATATTTACCGTTGGCAGAATAACCTTATTTTTTTCCTTGTCCTGACAGTCAGTATGAAAAAATATTGGTTTAAAATTCAAAGTATCTCGTTCTATATATTTATATTAGCCTGTGATCTAACCGAACCAAATGTATTTATGCGAATTATTTGTGACATAAAAGTTGATGAACCGTTTCGTGACTTAAGATGTTAAGTCAATGAATCGTCGTTGATTCTGATGACTAAGTACACATCAGTAATTATGAGGATTTTCTATGATGTTTTATTAAACAAATACTACAATCTGTGAATGAGTAATTTTGAGATACTGTCCAGAAATATGAGGTTCGTTGACATCGTAAAAGTGTATAATTCATTCCTGTGATGAATGATCAAATATGAACAAGTAAAAAATAAATTACAGAATTATTTATAACGAACCTGTAAAAAACATCTCTGCTCAGTTGTATACCTTATTTATCATTCAAACAATAGGTTTTTCTGTTTTATTTATCTTTAAGTTTAGTTTATTAGTTTCAGCTTCCTCCTGGATGATTTGTCAAACCTAATTTTCGTCTCTTTTTTCCTGTATGGCATTTTTAACCTTCATATTCTTTTGCTTCTTTCTGCTACTCGGTTTCTCTTTTGATTTTCCTGTATTCCCGAATGATTTTCTGAACTACCTGGAGTCCTTGTTTTTATTCCATGACTGTTTGATCTTTTGTAACACTTTGTTTTATCTTCTGCATTATTTGCGCTAATCAGTCTCTTTCCTTTTCCTGCATGCCTATTTTAACTACTCGGTTTCCTTCATGGCCTTTGGCTTATCTGTGTTACTCGGTTTCCTTCTCTATCCTTATTAGCCGTTTAGCTATTTCAACTACTCGGTTTCCTTCATGGCCTTTGCATTATTTGTTGTTACTCGGTTTCCTTCTTTTTCCTTCTTGGCCGGTTGGTTATTTCAACTACTCGGTTTCCTTCTCGTTCCTTCTTGGTCGGTTGGTTATTTGTTCTACCCGGCTTCATTTTATTTCCTTCTTGACCTTTGGATTATTTGTGTTACTCGGTTTCCTTCATGACCTTTGGATTATTTGTCTACTTGGTTTCCTTCTCTTTCTTTCATGACCGTTTGGTTATTTGTACTACAAGGTTTCCTTCATGACCTTTGGATTATTTGTCTACTCGGTTTCCTTCATGGCCTTTGGATTATTTGTCTACTCGGTTTCCTTCATGGCCTTTGGATTATTTGTACTACTCGGTTTCCTTCATGGCCGTTTGGTTATTTGTACTACTCGGTTTCCTTCATGGCCTTTGGATTATTTGTCTACTTGGTTTCCTTCTCTTTCTTTCATGACCGTTTGGTTATTTGTACTACTCGGTTTCCTTCATGACCTTTGGATTATTTGTCTACTTGGTTTCCTTCTCTTTCTTTCATGACCGTTTGGTTATTTGTACTACTAGGTTTCCTTCATGACCTTTGGATTATTTGTCTACTCGGTTTCCTTCATGGCCTTTGGATTATTTGTCTACTTGGTTTCCTTCTCTTTCTTTCATGACCGTTTGGTTATTTGTACTACTAAGTTTCCTTCATGACCTTTGGATTATTTGTCTACTTGGTTTCCTTCATGGCCTTTGGATTATTTGTCTACTTGGTTTCCTTCTCTTTCCTTCATGACCGTTTGGTTATTTGTACTACTCGGTTTCCTTCTTTTTCCGCTTGGCCATTTGATTCTTTGTCACGCCCACCGTTTGATCCTTTATGTTGTCCATTTTATTTCTTTCACATGTGCGTCCCTTGAGAGCTCGTCCCACCTATATATATATATCATTTATTTTTCCTTCCCTGCTTGCGTTTTACACAGATAAATATCACCCAGCTAATTGCTATTCCATCCTATAATGTTCGTCACCACGGTCGAACAGCAGAAACATCGTCAACCATGACAAACTTATGCCGTTACAACACTTTTTCTGTGACATGTAAATAGGCCTACGGTCGTCTACCTGTCAAACCAAATCAGAAGTGGGTTACGTCATACCTCAGACTTCAAATAAAGAGGGTGTTTCCTGAAAACTGCGACTCGTTAGTTTCATTACTAAATCTTATTTATTTGCTTACAGCCTAAACCCGTCTAGCGTACAACCAAAGGAATAAATTGTATTATCTTTTGGTCACATAACCGAGTGAAGGAGACTTGGGGTAGGCGGACGTAATGATGCCCATTTTTCTTGCAGGACGACACTTCCGTGGCCCATCGTAATTTCTAACATGAAAACAAAGTTTTCAGTTATAACGACTGAATAGTGCGTGCTATGCATACTTCATGACCGATAACGAACTTGTAACTCGGAAAGGGATACATCTATATTTGGTTGTAAACAATGACATGGAAGTGTTATATTTGAAAAGTTACGAATTCTAAATAATAACCGAATTACCGTGAACAATTAAAAATAATAACCGAATTACGTGAAAAATTCCAAATAATATCCGAATTACTGCGAAAAATTCCAAATAATAACCGAATTACTGTGAAAAATTCCAAATACTAACCGAATTACTGTGAAAATTCCAAATAATAAACTGACAAATCAACGTGCTTCACAACGTGAGCAATTTGTATGGATTTTTCCTTCGATCTTATTCACTGTAGTCTTACACTGGTAAGTTCAAGGCTACAAATTCGCAAAAAAAATATTTTTATACGGTTGCAATTTTTCGTATAAACTCCCATTATTCAAGTTTTAAGTTTAGAGAATATAAAGCATAGCTTGTTGGTTTGAACACTGGACTCGCAATCTGCGGGTCATGGGTTCGAACCCCGTCATGGAACATACTCGCCCTTTCCTCCGTGGGAGTGTTATAATATGACGGTCAATCCCACTTCGTTGGTAAAACGAGTAGCTCAAGAGTTGGCGGTGGGTGGTGTTGACTAGTTGTCTTAATTCCCTCTAGTCTATAACTTGAAAGGGCCTGACATGGCCAGGTGGTTAGGGAGCTCGACTCTCAATCTGCGAGTCGCGGGTTCGAATCCCCGTCCCACCAAACATGCCCACCCTTTCAGCCTTAGGGGTGTTATAAAGTGACGATCAATCCCATTATTCGTTGGTAAAAAGAATAGCCCAAGAATTGGGATATCACTTCAAAATTAGGGAAGGCTAACGCAGAAAGCCCTGGAGTAGATTTGCGCGAAATTCAACGAAAAAAACAAGTATATGAAGTATAGCGTTTCAATTCAAATAATATGCGAGAATGTAACACGTTTGCTTCAGAAGTGGTAATGTAACATTTTAAATATAAAGTACGTCATATTTGAACCTTTTATATAAAACATAACGTGTTTATATTAATGCACACTGTACTTTTTTTGTTGTTGTTGTTGAATTTCGAGCAAAGATGCTCGAGGGCTACTTGCGCTAGCCCGTCTATAATTTAGCAGTAAAAGAATAGAGGGAAGGCAGTTAGTCAACATCACCAATTGCTATCACTTGGGCTACTCTTTTACCAACGAATATTGGGTTTGACCGTCACATTAAAACACCCCCACAGCTGAAGGAGCTAGCATGTTCGGAGACAGGATCACGACCATCAGATTACGAGTCGAATGCCCTAACTACTAGGTCATGCCAAGTACACTGTACTTATATTGAGCATGTTTGGTTTAATGCTATTAGCTGTAGACATAGGATCACTTTGCTCATTCAACAATTCTCTCTCGAACATCTTTAGCTAAGAGTAAGTTTAATAGATAACCCTAAAAACTGTAAATTGATGTCATGTACATAGTGAAACATCACCTTATTAACAGTGTAAAAGCTCATTGTGTGATCCCCCTAAAAAAAACACCCCCCCCCAAAAAACTAATATTATGGATGCATGCCGTGAAAACAGCAACAAAAACGCGTTAATTTCGTAAATAAGCAACGAGTATAATGACGTCATACTATATCTGTCAGTTTGATAAGGGTCTGAAGAAAAACATATTTTTGAGTGGCTATAAGGTTTTAATTTTGAAAAATACATTTGAATTGAAACTGAGAGTATTTCGAACGTACGTGAAACATGTTACACAAAAGTATCCATGTTTCACGTAAGGGAAACACTGAACGTTACTGGAACTTGATTGTGTATCATAGAGTACTAATTTCTGTTTCATCAGCTACTGTCTGTAAATTTCACACGTGTTCTTTCTATTAACCAGTTTGCTTTTCGTATTTTTCAAGTGAAACATGTGAATTTGATCATCAAATCCCACATTTGGTCGACATAGCCCTTGTCTGACCTAATTATCGCCCATATCCACTTGTCGTAAACCCCAGGCAATGACCCGGATGTACTACTATACTAGTGGCGCCGACCAGTGACTATTTCCACAAATCTTTCGTCGCCTTTGAACGTTATGGATTCGGAGTCCTTGAAATAATAACATGCCAACTGTTTTTACTCACATCTTTGCCAGGGGTTCGAACATTTGTTTGGCCTCGATCTATAATTATCTAAGTACACTCATAGCACGCGTTCGACACAAGCGAATAACTTTTAAGTCTCGCGAACACGGGTGTCTGTTTGTTGGTACTCATCGTTAACACACACATGTGTATTCTTTGAAACCTCGCTGATATATTTCGGAAGTGATACCACCCCTACACACTCTCTACTGTCTTCACGAAGTTGAAGCTATTGCAATCATATACTGTAGACCTAAAGAGTCTCCTCTGGTGCTGTTTAAGAGAAAGGGACGAAGAGGACGCTTCCGCTTCTATCTTTCTTTATTTCACCCGCTTTAGCAATGCTTTCTAACTGCAGATCAAGAAACAAGCTTACTAAAAAAGAATGGTCTACGTGTTACTGCACATAGTGCGAAAAAAATATCCCAGGATAGTATATCTTCTCTTGCTTAATCAACAATATCCCCCCTCAGTGGCACAGCGGTATGTCTGTGGACTTACAACGCAAGAATCTGGGTTTCGATACCTGCGGTGGGCAGAGCACAGACTGCTCATTGTGTTGCTTTGTGCTTCACTTCAAACAAAACAGCCCCCCCAGTGGCACAGCGGTATGTCTGTGGACTTACAACGCTAGAATCCGGGTTTCGATACCCGTGGTGGGCAGAGCACAGATAGCCCATTGTGTAGCTTTGTGTTTAATTACAAACAAACAAAATAATCAACATAACAAAAGTAACGTTTGTAAAAACAAGTCGTCCACTATCATACCACAAGCGATAAGGGAAACACCGTAAGAATTTAAAACGGCCAAAAAAAATATATTTGTAAAATTTCATTTCAAAAACAACAACAACAAAGTTACAATAAACCAGAAATTAACTAAATGTTTTACAAAACAAACAGCAACAACAAAGGTTTCAGTTATGTATGTTTGCCCCTTTTTGTGGTGTAATCACAAAAGATGCCCCCCTCTCTTTCCTCCGCATAAAAAAAGAAAATAATTGAATCCCCCCCCCTACATTTATTTCCGTATAATTGTATTTACGATTCTTGCCGATTCGGGCGCCTTATTGGTCCGCCCCCTCCCTCCGCAATTGCGGGGTATATATATATATACGCCCGCCACTGCATGCAGTAATTCTTCGTTAACACACAGAAAAAAGTTCTATCTCGAATAATAGTAAATTATCGGCCGGGCTGAAACAAGCATTGTATATGGTCTCCCGGGATGTTGCATTATTTTTATTTTATTGCTGTGAGCAACTAACAACAGACTGCAAGCACCGCCATAAAATGGACTAACGTAATCAGACCACAGAAAACAAGGGAAGACGCACGCGCGACTTTTTTTTTTTTGATGAAGTGAGTGAGGTTTCTTGCTCATCGGTTGCTTTTCGGGTTTGTGGTAACACTAGATTTTGTTGCCGCGTGTTGCTAACTGCGGTAGTCCAGAAAACGTCACGTACTAGCCTGGAAAGAAGCCGGAACTAGAAGCCTAGCCTGCACGGAGCTGTAGCCTGTTCAGCAAATGTTATTTGAGTTGTCGAGTGCCTATGTAAAGAACCGGCCACAGTTTCTCCGGGCGTTGTACTTGTCACTCCGTTATGGATAACCGATCGCGTGTCTTGTAGGCATAATTTTTAAAGGCACTTTTTTTTCACAACATTCGGAAGGCTGTGTTGATTGAGGACTTACTATGCCATTACTGCAAGGAGAATCGTCTGCAAATTGTGTACCTCCACTTGGTAAGTAGTCTTAGCTTCCACAGAAAACCATAAGTAACCAAACTAACGTTTCTAGAGACAGTTCACTATATTTAGTTATGTCTTGGTGAGCTTGGTGTAGTTCGGAACGTCCTTGAACCGTGTTTATAGCCTTCCCGGAGGCTGTGTAATGATGAAACGTCACTGGTTTCGTTTCTTTCTGATGTCTTGCAGTAAATGACCAATTTGAGATAAACAGTTTCGTTTCTTATTGATGTGTTACGGTAAATGATCAATGAAACGTCACTGGTTTCGCTTCTTTCTGATGGCTTGCAGTAAAAGACGAATTTGAGATAACCAGTTTCGTTTCTTATTGATGTGTTACGGTAAATGATCAATGAAACGTCACCGGTTTCGCTTCTTTCTGATGTCTTGCAGTAAATGACCAATTTGAGATAATCAGTTTCGTTTCTTATTGATGTGTTACGGTAAATGATTAATGAAACGTCACCGGCTTCGCTTATTTCTGATGTCTTGCAGTAAATGACCAATTTGAGATAAACAGTTTCGTTTCTTATTGATGTGTTACGGTAAATGATCAATGAAACGTCACTGGTTTCGCATCTTTCTGATGTCTTGCAGTAAATGACCAAGTTGAGATAATCAGTTTCGTTTCTTATTGATGTGTTACGGTAAATGATCAATGAAACGTCACTGGTTTCGCATCTTTCTGATGTCTTGCAGTAAAAGACGAATTTGAGATAATCTGTTTCGTTTCTTATTGATGTGTTACGGTAAATGATCAATGAAACGTCACTGGTTTCGTTTCTTTCTGATGTCTTGTAGTAAAAGAC